TGTCTGTGTATGTGCATGTGTCTATGTGTTTGTGTGTGAGTCTATGTGTGTGAGTGTGTCTGTGTGCGTGAGTGTGTGTATGTGTATGTGTCTATGTGTGCGTGAGTCTATTTGTGTGAGTGTGTCTATGTGTGTGTATACTGTACTTTTTAACGGCTCTTATTAAAATATTTCTTATATCTTGAAAAATTTGTTGGGGTGTATTTTCTTACCTTATATAACAACTTGTAGAAGAAAAAATGAATAAAAGGGAGAGAAGTAGCCACCTTGGGATCAATTCTGAGAAAGGAACTTGAAAGCACGGTCCCAGAATGGCTTTTCTGTTTCCATTTTCTTATCACTTGTCACTCAATTTAATTTGCTTCCTCAAATTTAGAATAAAGTTTTCCAGTCATTGAATCGATATAGAGTCACAGTGCTTTACAATATACAATGTATACAAAATTGATGTGGAAACTACACAATGAAAGCCTCAATTATGTTTGGTCAAATTTTTCCCAAAGGAGATTTCATTTGTGGTCACATAGTCTCTGGTTCAGGCCTATATTTTGTTTTCTTTATAACATTAAAAATTAATCTATATTATAGCTATATTCTAGATAGATAGATAGGTAGATAGATAGAGAGATGAAAGATAAATAAATAGATTGATAGATAGATGGAAGATAAATAGATTGATAGATGAAAGATAGAAAGATAGATAAATAAATAGATAGATAAATAGAGAAGAAGAAGAAGGGTTAGTAGATAATAGACAACTAGACAAACAATCAGGTAGATAGACAGACAGAGGATAAATGATAGATGATAAAGTTATCTCAAGAGCCTCACCAAAGCATACCAAGACACTGGTAGGATTCAGAAATATGGCTGTCATTTGTAAACACTGAGAAAATGAATTTAAACATTGAATATAATAGTCACCACTCATATTGCTATGATGAAATAACTGTCAAGAATCAATTGAAAAGGGTTAATTGGTTCAGAGTTCAAGGACATAGCCCGTTGTGGCAAAGAATGTGTGGCAATGGGAGATTGAGGCAGCTGGCTACATTGATTGAGAATCACAAAGCAGAGAGAGAGAGAGAGAGAGAGAGAGAGAGAGAGAGAGAGAGAGAGGAATGCCGGTCCTCAATTCAATTTCTCCTTTCATCCTGTCCAGGTCCCAGGCACAGGGAGTGGCATCACTCCCAGTTGAGATGGATCTCCATCTCAATTAACCTAATTTAGATAACTCACTCGCAGATGGGTCTCCTGCTAAGTTGACAATGTTTTCCATCCCAGGCGATAATGGTTTTCCCTAGTTCATGTTCAACCCATAGCAATCAAATGATTTTTTTCCAGTTTTTTACCTTGTGGTATCTTATCTGATGCTTCTGTGGTAAGAGCAGATGCTGTGCCTAAGCAGCAGCTGCTGAGCAGTATAACAAAATGGGAAAACAGCGCATCCAGTGGCTCTCGGTTTTCCCCTCAGATGGCTCTCCTCCTCAGCAGCATGGTGTCCGTCATCGTGTATCGCCTGTCAGTCTTTGCCACTTTTGCCAGCTTCATGGAAAGTGAAGCCACCCTGCAGAATGTGAAGAGCTACCTCACCCCCCAGCTGGCCACCTCTCTCTCTGGATCATGCCTGAACTGCATTGTCATCTTGATCTTGAATTTTTTCTATGAGAAGATATCTGCCTGGATTACAAAAATGGGTAAGCTGGCCAAATTCTGAGAGTGATTTAAACACAGGTTTTAGCCAACACTGCACATCCATCTTTGGAGCTTCTCTCAGGAACTGGCAACTGAAGAGCACAATTTTCAGGTTGTTTTGTTCTCTGAGTAGATCCACACTTGCTTTTTAATTCCTTAAGATCCATATTCAGTCATTTCACAATGGAAGCAAGAAAAACTGTAAGAGTCAGGACACCTTGGGCCATTTTGAGGGCTCTTATCTCAACATTCCCTGGGTGGAGTTAGCTGAATCCTGATCAAAATCCACACCTTACTAAAAACGTGGGATAATCTGGTTTTACATATTTTCTTCTTGGAAGACATTTGCTTCTAGAAATCATTCTAAAATAGAAAAGAATAGCAAAAACAAACACAGCAGCAGTTCCTCCTGCATAGCCCTAGAATATGGTGCCTCTCTGTCTATGTTGCATCTGTTACAACCCAGATTATTTTCTTGCTAAAGTTTTTAAATTTCTCCCGAGTGAGAAGTGCTGGGATCAAGGGTAAAAGACTTGAGCAAGGAACACTGCAAAGAACACGTGTGCTTCTGCTCCCACCTTGAACAAGTTAGAGAGGGACAAGGCTAGCCACTTATCTAACAGAAAGAGGCATCGCATCTCACGGCTCCACACAAAGGCAAGCACCAAGCAAGCACTGCCTGGAAGCAGCCCTTACATCATCTTCAGATTTTGAATTCTCAGTCAAGTTTACTTTTTCTCTGGGTAAAGTGTTTTAAAGGACATAAAAAATTACGGCTCTATTCAGTGAAAATTGTTCCCAAACTCCTACCTGAGATGTTTTTAATAAATTCAAGTGAGCTTCAGCAAAATGGAAGTTATCTGTGTCTTAGAAGATTTTGTTCTCCTGAAAGTGTCATGGGAGTTGTCTGGATGCGCTGTGCTATGGGGAAATCACTGACTCCTGAAAGGAAGTGTATTCCCTTACTCTTAGCACTCCCCAAAATGGTCTAGGCTTTGGGGAGAAATTAATATTTTTTAATCTTTAGATTTTGTTACATTGGAAACCATAACTGCATTTTAATTAAGGAGGAAGAAAGCATATATTATCTCTACCAGCATTTGTAGGCACAGTTTAGTTGATGAGAAGAAAGTAGAATGTAGTCAGGAACCATCTCAGCTCTGGACATAGTTCTCGACATAAGCTTACCTGGTTCACTCCAGCTTGACCATTATGAAAGGAGACAGAAGCATGATGGGATTTTTGTTAGCATTTAGCAGTAATGGCAAGGAGCACTGCCCATTTTGTAGAAACCCCACATTCAGACTGTCTTATACCTAGAGAAATCCCACCCTTGAAATGGAGTAACTGCTTCCTAGACTCTACCAGCCATGGGATCAACACAACATGAGCAACAGGAAGCCAGCACAAAAGCACAGCTCTTCAACATTGGTCAGCTGAGGTCAGATAGAGGAGCATGTCTCCACACTTTGAAATGGCAAGCCTAAATATGCACTTCTAAGTACAGCATTCAGGGAAAGTCCATTGATTCCTGGTGGTTTCTCTTGGCAGAAATTCCTCGAACTTACCAGGAGTATGAGAGCAGTCTCACTCTGAAGATATTTCTCTTCCAGTTTGTGAATTATTACTCAGCTTGCTTTTACGTGGCCTTCTTTAAAGGGAAGTTGGTGGGCTATCCTGGGAAGTACACATACATGTTTAACTTATGGAGAAGCGAAGAGGTAAGGTCTCTCATCCAGCTCAGATTTATGGTCTCAGTTAAGACCTGCCTTTCTCCCTAGTACTAACTCAGTCATTGTCAAGTTGTAGAAGTCCAGACACTGACTTCACCCTCTGATCAGTCTGATCATCTGTTAGATTTTTCATTCCCTTTGAGCAAGAACATATATGGCTCCAGTCTTGCTTGGTTTTCTGTTGCTATGATTAAATACCCTGGCAAATGAAACTCATCAGAGAAAGGACTTATTTCCTCTCACTTCAAGAGTGTAGTTTCATCACGGCAGGAAAGTCAAAGCAGTTGGACCATGGCATCCACAGTCAGGAATCAAAGAACAATGAATGCCTGTGGTTGCTCAGCACCCTTTCTCCTCTTACTCAGTCCAGGATTCCATCTAGAGAATGATGCCACCCACAGTGGGCAGGTTTTCCCCCTTCAATTACTGTAATAGAAATAACCCTCCATATGCATATCCAGATGCTCATTGCCCAAATGATTCTACCTCATTCTAACAGGGTAACAGTTGACTCTAACCATCCAAGAGTCTATGGTCTGTTCATAAGACATAGAGTTTTTTTTCTTGAAAGCATCCTGCAAAAGGTCAAGAGTGAAGAAAGGGCTTTTTTATGGTCCATGAGACATGACCAGTAGTTTTCAAACTGATCACCTGAATATTATAGCACCTTTTGATCCTAGCACGGACATAAGGATTCAGAATTTTTTAGGACTCAGAGTCTGTATTTCCATCACAGTCCACAAATGGGTGTGCTGCAGCTACCCTGGTACTAGTCCCACATGGTCTGTGGACTGAATGGCTCTGGAATATCCTCATTGCCTCTCCTGACCATATTATAACCTCTTACTATACCTTCTTGAGTTTCTGACATTCCAGATGCTGCAAAATTCTGTTTCTCCTCTTCCTCTGTTTTCTTCTCTCTTGTTTCTGAATAGTGTGATCCTGCAGGCTGTCTGATAGAGCTGACAACCCAACTAACTATCATCATGATTGCCAAACAGATTTTTGGTAACGTCTATGAAGCTTGTCAACCGTATGTATGGATGGGATTTTTTTTTTTTTTTGGTCATGGTATCTTTGTCAGAAAATGCCTAAGCAAACAGGAACAATTTGTGTTTAGTCAACAGTGCAGAATGCCTCTGGTAATAGAGATCATTCAGTAATTTCAAGGCCATCAAAGATTTTCTTCCAGTCAAGAGGTGGTGCATGCCTTTAATCCTAACACTTGGAAAACAGAGATAGGCAGATCTCTGAGTTCAAGGGCAACCTGAACTACAGAGTTCCAGGATAGCCCCACTACACAGAAAATCTGTCTCAAAACTAAAAAAGAGAAAAGTTTTTCTTCTTTAGTTCTGTCCTTTAGTTTTGTTTTTGATTGACAGATAATTTTTAGATTTCCTCACTTGCATGTACATATTTACTGATTGCAATGCATTGTTTCAGTAAAGGATTTTTTGTGTGTTTTTGAGAGGGTCTCACCACATGGTCTTGGCAGGCCTGGAACTAATAACTCACAGAGATCCAACAGCCTCTGCTTCATGTAGTGTTAGGATTAAAGGCGTGAGCCTTAAAACCTGTGGCACATTTAAGTGAATATTTCTGCTGTCAAGTGAAGTTATAAAGATTTAACTGGGAATCAATATAGTAGATCTTTAGTAGGATATTCTGCACACTGCATATCATACTTTTGTAACTTAAAATTTTTAATATAAAATGTGTGTATTTCTTTGAGAATTTTATGCATGCTTTAGTTCTCCTCCTCCATCCACTGCTCTCTATCCCCCTCCTTCCCGCTTCCTAGTCTTTCTTTCACTTTTCTTTGGCTGTGGTCTACTGAGTCAGTTTATACAATGCATGTCCTCATGCATGTGTGGCCACCTACTGGAGGGTGGTAACCTACCAGGGGCCTCGGCTTTCAAGAAAACTTATTCTTCCTCTCCCAGAAGCCATCAGCTATCAATAGCAACTCATCCACTGGTGGGAGTTCATCACCCCCCCCACAAACACACACACAACGCACTTCTCCATGCTGGAATGTGGAGTGCCTCAATCTTGTGTGCAACGGGCACAGCCGTGAGTTCCTGAGTACAGCAATCCCACCATCTTCACAAGACACTGTTTCTCCCTCACACAGTCCTGCTGACCTCTGGGGTTTACTGTCTTTCTTCCCTCTCTTTGGCAATGGTGCCTGTGCTTTGGGATGTTACATACAATTGTTACTATGACTAAAAGTTGAACCTTTGCTTTTTCATTTTATAATTCTTGTATTATGTTTTGTAGTCGTAGAAATACTAAAGAACTTAGGTCATTTGATGAGGGAGGAGTTGCTCCCTCATCCAAAAGCACAAAATGAATGTATTGCATATATACACTAACTAAAATACTAGCTGATATTACACATTTAAGGACCATTTCTACCAAGGAAAAGAGAAAGGATAAAAAAGGTCTCAGTTTGTGTTGGGAGTTGTCACTGTGTAAGAAGTAGTCTGAAGTCGGGTTGGGTTTATTTCCTATTTATTACAAAAGTTGAAGACACATTTTTTGAGAAAAATGGTGATTTTCTGGGTTTGAAGAGACAACATAGAAAAAATTATCCATTATCCCTATACTGACACATGCACATAGTTTATTTCAGTGGAAACATCAGCATTGTTGCCTGTATAGATGAGCAGATTCTAAATGTTAGCTGGGAGGTCAAGAAACTAGAAAATTAAAACAGAGGAATTACTCCACTTAATTTTAAAACTAACTATAAAACTTTATTAATGACAAGAATATGGGATTGGAAACAAACTGGTTCTATAGGTAATGGGGAAATGAAGATGTCAAAATCTGTGATCTGTGCAAACATAATTAAATTATTTTGGCCTAGTTGCAAAAGTATTTAAAAAAAACAGTAAGATTTCATGTTAGGAAATATATAAAAAATCAAACATCCATACCAAAATATAAAATTTGGAACAAACTTCAGTTATTCAAAAATAGTCCCAAATAGATCATAGGTACCAAAACTGATTTCAATGGAGCAGAAGTAGAGGCAGCCAGCCAGTAGACCTTTGAAAAGCTCCTCACTGAAGACAGGCCCCAACTTCCCCTCTCTGTGGGCCCTCCCATCCTAAAAAAGTTTTATCTTGTTCTCTTTGTATTTCAATTTGGATGTGTGCTATCTATAAATGATTATTCATTTCAGTACACAGTGGATGCAGTTGTCTGAATGATAATGCTATTTATCTGTTGATCCATTTGCTTGATAAACTCCACCTCTTTGGACTCTTATTTTTCATTTGCCTAAGTAATTAACATGAAAGGACTGCTGTCCGTCTGGGTGTGATTCCTTTGCAGGGTGAGTGTGCTTGTTCATGTTGTTTGAAGCCTCTCCTACCTGACCGCTTCTCCTTGTTTGTTTGCATTAATGCTTCACGAGCTTTAGCTACCAACTCTTTTTGGTTTTCTTCTGTTTTGAGACTATGTGTAGAAAATATTTTGTCTGACCATAGTCTTATGTTTTTGTTTTTTTTAAAAAATGATCTCATGAGGTTGCTCAAACTGATTTAGCTGAGGCATCTCCATGTTTCCATTTGCAGGGCTGGATAAATATATGTATTCTTGAAGTCGCCACGAGGTGGAACAAGGCCACCACCTCCACATTGTGACAGCCAAGCCTCCCTACAAAATCACTCTGACTGGGAGGCACTGCTTTAAATGCTTAAAAAGGCAGAGTTTGAAAGTCAGGTCACCCTGGTATTATTTGGTCTCCTATCTTTGGCAGATTTTTTTTCTTTTTCTTTTCAGAAACTTATGAATGTGTTTGCTTGATTTTTTTTCTTCCATTCCCAGAACTTAGCAGGTGAAGTGGTGACACTCTGCGTTTCATAACCTCAGTGGTTGTTTTATTTCATTTATTTATTTTTGTTCATGCTATTCTCTTGAATGTGGTAATGCGCATTCTCACTTCAGTTTTTATTCCAAATGTCTTTACACCAATGAGGAATTTTTATCTTGCTGGATGCTTGCTCACACTGTGCCATCTTGATTTCATGAATGTATTTGATACTAAGCACTATTAAGTTTGCATTAAATCTGCCAGCATGTCTATTGTGTTGGTTAATTTGCTTGTTAAACAACAAACCTTTATTTTGGCTCACTCCTACACTACTATAATCTCCTGGTATGGTTTGGACCTTAGCCTGTGTTTGTAGTACTATTGCATTTACTCAGATAAGCCTCTGCTCTTCCTTTCATGCACCTTCTCTATTATGTCCGAGTTCTCACTTCTGCTAGTGTTTTCTGAGCTTTGCAGTAGTGTGGAGATTGGCCATTGCCCTGGCCCTGCCCATTTTCTTCACATGCTCTGTCACCTGGACTGCCTCTGAGTGAGTGCTCTTTTTGTCAGCAGGGAGAGGCAGAGCCATTTACCTTCTCCTCACCTCTCTGTGTGGCAAAAGCAATACCATGTCTTCATTTGTATTTCATCTCCTATTTGCTAGTTTAAGGAACTCAGCCTCTCTTTCTGACCATTTCCAGACTTGACATACTGGCTCTCTTACTTCTTTCTTCAAGTGTCAACTTCTATCATTTCTAACAGCCTGGTTTTTAATTGGTGGAGACGCCGAAGAACCCGGACCCACTCTGAGAAGCTATACAGTCGCTGGGAGCAAGATCATGACCTTCAGGCTTTTGGACAACTTGGGCTGTTCTATGAGTACTTGGAAACAGGTAATTTCCAATTATGGTTCTCAGGCAGCAAAAACCCTGATAAAATGAATAGTTTTCATCTCTTGCAATTTCCTTCTGTCTTATGTGTCATAGATGTTTAAATTACTGAATAAAAAGATAGATGAATGGATGGATAGATGATGGATATATGGATAGATTGTAGATGGATGGATGATGATAGATACATGAATAGTGGCAGATGAATTGATGGATAGAACTGTGAGTTGTATATATCTAGGTGAATAGTGGGTAGGTAGATAGATGGATGTAAGTATAGATTAATAGATGACAGGTGTACACACATGCATACTGAGGGAGGAAAGATGGATGGATGTACTGATTGTGGAGAGATGTATAGACAGCAGGTAAGTATATATACAGATGGCAGGGATATATATGTATGTATGTATGTATATGGATATATGGATATATGGATAGCAGATGGATGGAAGAAGATTTATGGCATCTATGGAAGATAGGTGAATGGATGGATAGATGGTGATTGGATAAATGAATAGATGGAGAAAATGATTCAGTTTTCCTTCGACTCAGTGATTGAACCGAGATGAAAGACTGAGGTGAGATCTTAGAGAACCAGTGCTCAGGCTGTTTGTGTGGTCTACCAAGGGCATTTCTGCTCACCAATAGCCCCTGCTTTGGTAGAACTATAGAGGGCACTTTATGTACTTATTATCAAGCCCCTTGTGCAAAAAGAGAGATGATCTGAAAACCACTAAATGATTAATATTTTAGATATGCTATATATTTTATCTTAAAATCTGTCAGTGTGACAGAAGACATTTTTACGCTTCATGATAAACCAAGGTTACTATAGTTTACTTTATATTGTGTGGTATTAGTTGGGTAATACTATGTACATTGTTGGGTAAAGAGGTGGGAATTCTTATTTCATGCAGCTCACTATGCAATTAGGTAGTTCTTGCTTTATAGGATGATGAAACACTGTATTTTTCTCACTGTGGAGGTTCTGAATGAATGTGTATTCACAGGCAGGGGAGCTTAGTACTGACAGAGATGCAGAATATCATTTATAACAAAATTAGCTTCAGTATCTTGAGAGCCAACCAAGACTTGGTTCATACTGAAAACTATCACACATTCTTCTAGTCATGAAATAACTGTACAGTAAACTGAACTGATTGGCTGACTTTCTTTACTCTTGGTTTTGAAGATACTGAAATTAAATACCTTAGTTTTCTAGGTAAAGATCTGAGACTAACACCTTGAAACACATGCTACCTCTTCTCAGAGTAGTTATAGTATCCTTAAGAAAAGAGAAGAATGGACTAATGCAATTGGAGACTGCTCATTTGTTTTCTAGTGGCTCAGACACAAATAATCACACAGAAACTGTATTAATTACAACACTGCTTGGTCAATATGACTCCGGAATATTTCTAGCTAGTTCTTACGTCTTAAATTAACATATTTCTATTTATCTTTGTACTACCATGAGGCTGTGTCTTACCAATAAGTTTCCAGCATCCTCCTTTGGCAGCTACATGGCATCTGCTTAACTCTGCCTACTCTCTCATTATATTTCTGTTCAGATTTCCCATCTGGCTATATTTTTCCATGCCACAGGCAAAGAAGCTTCTTTATTAACCAATGGTAATAAAGCATGCTCACAGCATACAGAGAAGAACCCCACATCATCTCCCCTTTTTTGTTTAAATAAAAAGGAAGATTTTAACTTTAACATAGTAAAATTACATAAAATAAAACAGTTACCAAGCAAAATTATAGTCACAATATTTCTTTTTGACTCTAAAGTTTCAGTATCTAATTAATCTTTTATCATAACTAAGGAAAATTATAACTATTTAGCCTTCAACTTCATCAAAGACCCCAGAAGGATATAATATTACCTAAGTAAACAGAAAGTGCATTGGAAGCACTTCTAAAACTCTAAAATTGACAGAGACATCTTGTTGTCTGGATAGTGTCCTGAAGTTCTTCTTTAACATTGGGGCATTCATCTTCAGCCTACAGTACCATACTATCCAACAAACATTTTCATGAGGCAGGAAATTTGAAATGGTTCTGTTTATGTTGACAGTTTGTCAGTCACTTTCTTTTGTATCCTGAAGAATGTCTAGCAGACTCTTTCATGAAACAGAAACCCTGAAAGACTGTGTCATCTTATTTAGGCAAATTCAGCAGTCATTTTTCCATGGGTCCTGCATGTCCAGTTCATACAGCATACCATCAGGCAGTTCAGGTAAGAGCAGTTTCTTGCCCAAGTGGCTAGCCTTGTCACATTAAAGGCAAATTCCATAACAAGTTTTTAATGCTCATCAACCTCTCTGAAGTAATTGGTACTTCCAGAAGCAGATATGTCTCACTGTTGAAAAGTCCAAGTTCTTACAACATTGTAAATGCCATATTCTGTAGGCCTTTGATAGGTTTTAAGAAAACTTATCCACCGGAAGTATATCTCTGTACATCTAGATAACCTAACTAACATGACTACAGTTTGACTCTTATAGGTGACTATTTATTAATCCATAATTTTCAAGTATACATTATATTTTTTAAATGAGCTGTATAAACACAATACGTTAAACAAGAATAGAAATATACATATAACAAAGTTGACCTTAAACATGTATCAATAAACCAATGTCCATACAAATGTAAAGAATTTAGTTCTATATGATATCCCCCCTTTTTATAGAAGGTGATTGACTGTGACTATTTAACCCTTTATACTCTTCACCTTTTAAATAAAAACAAACATTTATAAATAATAATTTTTGGAAATTGGGCATAGTTTTCTCCAAACTGCTTCCTGCTGTTTGTTGGGCAAAATATTTTTAGGAATAATGGAGACTTTCTGGGGGGGGGGGGTCTTATTCAATCAAACCACATTAGCTTGGAAAGAATTCACTGGTCCTCATCTTCTAGTAAAATAAAAGCAGAACCTCTTTTCCAAAGTAACACCTCCTTAGACTCAAAATTTGAAGTCAAAATACCTTTAACATATATCTATATCTATATCTATATATCTATCTATATATATTTCAAAGATATATTTTGAAGGTATATGTATTGGTCTAGCATAGAAGCCTGTACAATCATATGTCTCTGTATTTCGCTCATTTGTGGCCAAAAAATTTAAAGAAAACACAATAATATACATAATTCAGGCTGTGTATTTTCACTCTTTATGTGGCTTTTTTATTCTACTTCTTTTAATATTTATTTTATTATCTTTCCTCATTTACTTTCACTGTCTCCTTAAAGACTTTGCTTTTCTAAAACTATTTCTTTTTAAAACTGTCTATATACTTTTCCTCTCTCTCCCAAGCTTATGTACATTTTTTAAACACACTGTATCTTATTGAGAGATCTTGTATATCTGAACCTGTCCTATTGTATATCTATAATCATTTTCTGACCAGGAGCACCTTTAAAAAAACATGATAAGCGGACAAGGCCAGGACCAACTCCACAACCTTGCCTGTTTGCTCCACCCAGTCCAACATGGTGAAGGCATACTCACTGCTTCTGTGAACCATGCTTGCCAGTCAAGCTTCAGGGACACAGTGGGTCTGTGTTATGATTAAGAAATTTGTAACACATTGTTCATAGACCCCATTTAAGTACTCCACAAGAGGACCAGCACAAACCAGGAAACCAGCTCTTAAAGGAGCTGCACAGTTTTCTACTGTTGATGCTGAGTCAGGAAGCCTTCTCGTAAAGGAATTGCACATCTACTTGCCTCTAGCAGAACCCACCTGAGAAAATACTACTATCTAGAAAGCATACTTAACTTTGTTGTGTGTGTGTGTGTGTGTGTGTGTGTGTGTGTGTGTGTGTGTGTAAAACTCCTTCCCAAGTGCTCTCAGGATTTATATGGATGTAGTTGCTCCACATTGGCATCATTTGTAATTGGAAACTGTTTATTCATTTCCCAGCTTCTCAAACCCAAATAATCACACAGAAATTATAGTGATTAAAAAACTGCTTGACTGATGGCTCAGGGATATTTCTAGGTAATTCTTTCATATTAAATTAACCCATTTCTTTTAGGCTGTGTATCACCACAAGGCTGTGGCCTACTAGTAAGTTTCCAGCATTCTTCTCCTTCAGTAGCTACACGGCATTTCTTTGCCTCTGCCTACTCTCTTTATATATCACTCTTTGGATTTTCTACCTGGCTATATTCTCTCCTGCCACAGGCCAAAGCAGCTTCTTTATTAACCAATAGTAATAAAACATATTCACAGCATATAGAGGGGAATCCCACATCAGACAGGTGAAAAGAGAGAGTGAGGTTCGAAATGGCAGGGCTAGGCTGAATGGCCCTTTATCTCCTTGGTAATGATGGGTGACCTATGTTCTTTCAGTTATCCAGTTCGGGTTTGTCACGTTGTTTGTGGCCTCCTTTCCCCTGGCCCCCTTGTTTGCTCTCATAAACAACATTGTGGAGATCCGAGTGGATGCCTGGAAGCTGACGACTCAGTACAGGAGACCTGTGGCTGCAAAAGCTCACTCCATAGGTGTCTGGCAGGACATTCTCTTTGGAATGGCCATCATTTCCATTGCAACTAATGTAAGTGCCTCTTTCCATGGGATGACTTTGCCCTTCTTTTTGCTTCTGTTGGGGTGGGGGATTGTGAATGATACCTGACTCAATCCTCATGGGCACCAATTTCATCACAGAGTTGATTTCCAAGGACAAGTTACCCGAAACTTTGCTTTCTGAGGAAGAACAATGGCAAGAAAATAGTATTTTCTCATTGAAATTTCATGATGTTGTTTTATAGATTTGCTAATCTAGGTAGAAAATCAGTGACAATGTAACATGTATGAACAATGGAGTCAAAAACTGATTATACACAAATATGTATAATATAAAGAATACATGTTTACTTACTTTTACTTACAAAATGATTTTTGAAAACTAAATCTCACAAACACTACTTTTATATCCCTTATATCCATCTAAAATTGTTTTATCAATTGAAGATTTTCTTGAGATAATCAAAAAAATTTGACACCTGAATATTTGTGGTTTATTTTATGAAACTTTATATAAAGGAAATGTGGTTGAAACTGTGGAGTTTAAATATGGTAGGAATATAAAGAGATGTGGAGCACAGTTACAGAAAAATCTATGGCTGGAAATGCTCTTTAAAAACTAAGACAGGAAAGCCTAACCTAAGCATGTGACTTCAGCCACCGAAGGAAAACACAAAACTAAAAGCAGTAAAAAGAAATAAAATAAAAATTGTTCATAAATAGTCAACTTAGAAGATGAAGGGGTTATTAACACAAATACTGAGTTAGTTTGTTAAAAAGACATAAACAAAATAAACGAATGCCAGGTGGTGGCGGCACATGCCTTTAATTCTAGCACTCAAGAGGCAGAGGCAGGTGAACATCTGAGTTAAGGGTCAGCCTGGTTTACAGAGTGAGTTTCAGGGCACAGAAACTCTATCTTGAAAAAAACATACAAACAAACAAATAGACAATAAACAAGAACAAACAAAAAACCCAAACCCTTAAAACAATAGATTTCTTTTTAGCAGATTGTAAAATTTTACTTGAAATGACCAATTACTAGATATAAAAATGTCAGATTATTAAATAGTCAATGGAAATACCAAATATACTTATTAACATAGAAGTAACAGAAATGTTTTTTAAAAATATACCACAAACTGCACAGGTGCCAGAGTTATACAGATGTGTTCTTGAATAAACAAACTATTTCTGTGATCACTGGGCTTAAAGAAATAACACCCCCATATAATGAAGTTCTGAGATTAATTGTACTAAGCTACAAGAAAAGTGCCAAATCACACTCTTTCCTTTTATTCATCAGCTTATTATTGACACACTTAATGCACATACACAAGACACAGATTCAAACAAATGCACAGAAAGACATAGTCATAAATACACGCTGGTACATTCATGCATTATTGTGCATAGATATGGTCGCACACAATCATGTACACACAGATTTTACAGATATATACAGATGCTCACAAATACAGGTATATTCATACATCATTATACATAGATA